TTAAATGTTTGAAGGCTCAAAATTTAGCTTTTTTAAATGTAGAATCAGGCCGTCTTCCAAAATTTATTACCTGTGCTGTAAATGTATAATAAATAACATAACATAAACTGTAGATTTTCAGCGCTGGCAGTAAATTTTAGAACGCAGCCTTGAATGTCACATGATGATTTCTGTACTTGTGTGAAATTAGTCCCCAACTTTTGAAAAAATTAATTTTTTATAGTTCATTTAATTACTCATTATTTGTATATACATATTATATGAACACTTTAAATTTTCGTTTGCACAATTCTAGTAAAAAAGTTATTAAAATAACAATTAGAGGGGCTAATTTCATACTAATCTCCCAACTTCGAGCAAATCGAATTGAAAAGGTCTTAATTGATAGATTTTTGTTTGCACACATATATAGTTAAGTTATTAACAATTGGAGTTTTGAAAAATTTCGGAAGCAAATATAGATTCAAATCGCATCTTGTGCTCAACATGGCAACTTTAAATTTAAACTTTTTAACTACAGATGTGCAAACAAAAAATTGACTTGTTTTAGAATGTGCAAACAGAAACTTATCAATTTATATTTTCACCAATATAGATTAACTTTATATAATCTCGGTTTAACTTACCGTTCATCTTTTTCTAATTTTTCGAACTAATAATAGAAAAAGACGAAGAGCAAATTGAACCGAGATTAAAGTTAATCTATATTGGTGAAAATGGGCATAAGACCTTTTTAATCCAATCTGTTATCTTCAAAAGAGTCTTCAACGCGCCGCTCCTGCTCCTTCTGTACTCGACTTGCGATATGTTAACTATAATGTTTCTCTTTATAATTTAAAAATTAAGCTTCGGACAAAGTTTTGCTAAAGGAAAAATCGTCTCAGAATTTTGAATTATCCTGTACACACAGGCGCGCGCGCACACACACACACACACACACACACACACACACACACACATGTATATATACCTTTCGCCGTCGATTTTGCCGTTGTCATCAAATGTCTTGAAGGCATTGATTACAACATCGTCATCATCAGCACCTAAAAAAATTTAAATTATTCGGTTTGTAAAGCCTTTTTTGCTCATTTTGTCCAATTAATAGATTATACGTACCTGATCCTGACATACGAACAGCGAATAAATTTAACAATTGAGTGAAGTTAATGGGCGCTGGAGCCTCGTTAAGCATTTCCTCTATCTCCTTATCGGTTGCTAATCGACCGACAGAATCGAAGGCTGCTCGAAGATCATTCTTACCAATAATACCATCTTTATCCGCATCCATTAATTGGAATGCCTACGAATACAACAGCATTGAGAATAGCTATATGAACATAATAGTATAAACGTGTCATATTTAATATTGTTATATTTATTCGTGAAAAATTTGAAGTAAAATTAGAATTATGTGTATAATTATATCTTAATTGAACCATACCTCCTTAAATTCGGCCACCTGTTTCTGAGAGAACATGGAAAATACACTGGATCCGCTGCGTTTAGCCTTGCGACTACCGCGGCTGCTTGCTCTGGCAGAACCAGAGTCTTTTGGTGTGCCTGTTGGAGTTGGTGCTTTTTCTTCAACTGGAGCTGGCTCGGGCTCTGGTGCTGGCGCCTCTTCCTTCTTTTTAGTCTTCTTCTTCTTTTCCTTATCCGCCTAGAATATAAAATACCCCAATATTTTATAATATATTTTAAGTATTTTTTACTACTTTTTACTACTGTTAAAAAACTGAGCACATAAGAGATACGTGTAATATAGCTGTACTTTATAAAATATCTAAAATAATCTGACAAGTATTAATATTAATGAAAAAATAATCACTATGATTAATGATTAGCATTTTTTTTTTTTTTTTAAGTTTTCAAATAATGTGTGAACATTTGTTTCAAATGTGTGTCATGATTTAGAACTAAAAACTTATATCTAAAGAATATCATTTTTTAATATTTTAAAACAATTAAAAATTTTAATTAAAATTTTAATTAAAAATTTTTCCTTAGAAATGCTTAAATATTTAACATTCAACAGTTTCAAGAATCATTTTTTTTTATATTATATTAAATGGAAAAGGAATTAAAGTATGAGTAATAGCATAAAAAAGACGTCAATTTTAATGACCTTTACATATATTGTAGGGAAGAGTGTCCTGAATATAATCCCCCACAAGAATTAATGTGGGGGATGGCATTGGTTTAGAAGATATAATAAATTAAAGTTGGTAAACCCTTATATATAGAAAACACTTCTTGATGTATTATAGAGGTATTGATCAACTTTCTTATAGTTTTTGAGATATATTTATATAAATATATGTCATTTTCGAAATATCATTATTGTCCGTATATGACACCTTGTATATATGATGAATGGGTGGCTCTTGCTTTACATTGTAAAGTGTATGCATAGATGCAGTAGATTCGCTACGGAAAGAGCTCCAATACAAAAAAAAAAGCTAATCTAACCCAATCTATTTTGTGATGTGGGATGGTTCTTATACTTCGCGTGGAAAATTACAATATAAACCTATGTTGAACTTTAATTTGTGAATTTACTTGCGGAAATAAAAAATGGATCGGGTTAGATTAGTTTTTTTTGCTAATATGGGGCCCCCATAGAGGACGGAATCTACTGCACCCATGCATATACACTTTACAATGCGAAGCATTTTGAAAGCAGTTACCAAACGGCGAGAACCACGTTGACTGTTCACAAAATACCTAGAATTTTCTGATTTTGTTTGCATTCTTTAAAAGATTAGTATGGCATATACAAATTTCATTATTCGTAATAATTCGTATCAAAAGATACGCGGGTAATGTCTCGGCGCTAAGGCAAGCGTATGCTACACTGCCGTTTGCCGTGCACTTTACGCGAGATTGTGAGTTGCAGAGGACCGAGATTATGGGGAATCCCCCATCCTAAAATCTACCGTCTACGATTAAACCATATAATTTTTGTATCGCAAACACTTTTTTGTCATTCATAGATTCGAAAATCTGTTTCTAGGATTAAACTATATACGCATTAATACGTGTCTGTGAAGTAGAATCTATGCTGAAAACGACAAAAAATTATTATAGAACTTTAATTTACTATATCTCCTAAACCAATGCATCCCTCATTTAATTCTTCTAGGAAATCACTCAGGACACTCTGTCCTACAACATATCTAAAGCACATTGAAATCGGCAAGGTGTCACCTAAAATGCATTATTTATTAAAAGCATTATTAAAAAATATATCTTTAAAACATTTAGGGTACATATAATTTTTTGTTTCAAATATAATTTTCAAAATTTTTTATATTCAAAATAATTCATTGACTTTATAGTTTAAATAATTTATGAAAGAGATGTTTTGAAATCGAAAATTGTTTGATACAAATGGCGTATCTAAGAAAACTCACTCTCCTAAAATATTAAATTTAATCAATTCTTATCAAATAGGTGTAAATTAATAGATAAGATGTACAAACGACAAATAAGAAAAGAAATTTAATTAAAAAATGTTATTATATTTAATTATTATACTAGATTAAAAATATATTTTAAAATATAAATTGTGTTCGTATTTTCTGTTATCTTCAAACTGTTCACAAACATTTTTATAATAGATTTATAGAAAAACAAAATAATTTATGCAATTTTTTTATTAAGAAAAAAGGAATAAATTGAATTAAAAATGTAAAAGTTACTTTGTTAATGTATGCATAACTATATGTTGGTTGGTCTCTATAAACGAAATTGAGAAGCCTGGTCGAATTATTGCATGAGAAAATTTACGGGGCGTTACCGGTCGGTGCTAAGAATAGAATCACATTGTGAATCTGCCAAGACATATATAGAGCGAGCATTCAGTTATCGCACTGCCTCTCGTATTACCTCATTCTTACATGATTAAATTTATTATCATAATTAGAAAAATGAAACCGTATTGATATCAAACATACACCTTTTATTTTACTAACAAAATAAATGTCTTTCATATAAAATAAGTTTCGTTTTTCAATATTTTTCTTTATAGAAATTTCATATGTATAATGTATTTATAAAAATTGATATTTACTTTTATTTAATTTTAAATCTATTTTATTAAAAATACTTCAACTGAACGAGAAAATTAAATTATATATATTTGCTATTCCACGGTGATTTGTTATTATATAATTATAATAGAAGGTGTACATGTGTAAGTTTTATTTTAAAGTCTCAGAGTTTATGATAGAACTGCAATGTCAATATTGGAATTTCGAGCAACTTGCTAAATAGTCTGACGAAAATCACTGTCGCACTTTACTATCACAAATTTATAATGTCAATGTACATAATGTACATAAATTTATCGTCACTTATATCGGTATATAGCGCGTAATCCATCTTTGTTAAATGCACTTTTGCGGTTTGATGATGTTACTGCATCTCGATCACATGAATATATAAACTTAAGTCCCTCGTATTCCTTTTGGTTTATTAGATCCACGCGCTATTTTCAAACAGTCCATACAGACGGCGTTGACACATTTTTCGGAATACTTACCATTGTTTACCGGTCGATTTCTAAGAGATGGACAATACGAGATGGTCACGATGTACCAACTGTCCGAATCAAAGAGCCGAACTTGTCTAAGTAACTTCTGCGGATCTCCCCCACCAGCAAACCACAAGTTATCCAAGCCGAAATGCCCCTGTCCCGGGTATAGCGTCTATCAGACCATATTTAGTGCGAGTCGCCTCAAAATAGCGACCCTTTCGACGTTTCAAATAAAACAGTTACAGGCAGTTAGAACTCTGACAGTCCTCATTTCAATGTAAACGACATCTCAGCACTAAGATACCGATCTCCTGACCGATATGAACCAACCGAGCGCTCGTGGACAATTATAGGGAAACCTGGGGCATAATGAAACCAGTACGGGTATAATGGGGTGTAGTCAATAACATTTTACAGAAATGTTATCATCTAATGAAATATTATGTAATAATTAGTGTTATATATTATGTATCTTATCGTATTCATTTATCAGTTGTGATATTATTTGTTAATAGTTACTAGAAAATGTTTAATACTGTTCGCAACGGAGTTACAAGTTACAATTTCTTTGATATATTTGTATAAGGTAAGCAATAACTAAATTCTGTATTTTACTACCGCAAGTATATTTATGTTATTAAACAGCCTTTTCTTGTCGTTTTAATCAAGTATTTATGTAAATATATTGATCTGTGAAATTTTATATCATCTAAAGTAAATTTGTGCATCTGGAGGCATAGTATAGTGCATTATATATAATATACGGGATATATGGTGCACATTGGATACGCCGTGATATTATGTACTGTGATACAGAGAGTAATAAAAGTGAGATTAACGCCAATGTGTTAACGTGTTTAAGTGTTTCTAACTTCCAAAAATTGTATGCATACAGATAACGGAAGTATTATTGTGTAGGTATAATGTATATTAAAATGAAGGACTATTAATAAAAAATTAGTAATTATATAGAAGTGCAATAATGCATTTCTATTCATATTATTTATATTAAATGTTCTAAGTTATACTTTAAGCAACGTTCAATGTTATTTTTAAAAAATTAAAAAGTTTTAAGTGGTATCCCATTCCTACCCCGCATAAACAGTATAGCGCAGTTATAATGCACGTTTAAAAAAAAAAAACCAATATTTTTGTCCTGTTAACCTATCCTTTTGTAGTAAAACTTACGTTTATTTTATAGTAGATATTCCAAAGAATAGTTTAATATAAAACCAAGTTGATTATTTATTTTCAATACGCTTAAAACTTATTTAAACCTGGTTGTAACCATTTGTGCCCTGGGTTCTCCTACTTGAAACAAGTATAATTATCGAAATGATTTTTTCTTTACATACTTAACACCATGGAATGGAATAAAAGTTTTTTTCATAATTATATCTATTCATTTTGTCAATGAGAATTTCTCAAAAAGTGGTTCACAGAATTACTAAACGTACTATTGAAGTAATCGAGCTTTCGGTTTAAAGTAGGATGTCTTAAATATGTGGGCATTATAAATAAATTTAATGAAAAACGATGAAATATTACTGAAATTTATTAAATTTTATATTAAAATCTCTATCAATTGATCCAATTTTAGTATTATTTCATTACAACTCATTAAAATTTCATTAAGATTTTATTAAAATTATAGGTTTTATTAATAATTCGATATAAAATAGTGTTATATTTAGCTTCGCTAAATATAGCTCACTGGTACAAAAATATAATGCATGTACTAAACCATGTACAAATAAAAATTTGACATAGCTGCAAATAATCTGAGATTTGGTTATATAAATCTGTTTATGTACAGAGTATATGCCTAAATTTTACGTGCGAGAAATGATACGATATAGCGACACCATTAGGAAGATGAATTCAATGCTTTTTGTTGCAATACAAATTTACTTACTTTTTAGCAGACTTCATTATTTTTCTTCAATTATCTAATTAACGCATGCGCGGCACGTACACTTTTCAGATATTTTTGTTCATATTTCTTAAAATTCATAGTATTATATTGTTTCAATATTGAATAACTCGGTGGAAAAAAATCATACAGTAGAAAAGAGAAAAATTAAAGGTAAACTGCGCTTTTAAATGCTGCAAACCGAATTTTTATGCTACTTTTAATTCATGCCATGAAACTTCGCAAAGTTAGTAAACATTTTTGAGCTTTGACGCACTTCCATTTGTGCCTATAATATAACTCCGTAAAGAATGAATTAAATCGAAATATCAATTAATATTTCGAAAGTAAAGATTTCAAACTTTAAAATGCTTTTTAAATAAATTTTTATGATCATTTTTGATGAAGTTACATCCTTTTAAAATTTGCCTATTTTGCAAAATAGATGATGTTTTAATTTTGATGTTGAGTGTATGATACATATATATATATATATATATACACATACCTGTCGCAAAAGTATTTATTATCCTCTTCTTGTATTGCTGTGTATTACTGAAAAGATCCTTGATCCATGCGAAATATCCCGCGTTATCATCTCGCGCACGTACAGCAGATTGACGTGTTTGTCCCTCTTCACATATAGGTGAGCCGTAATGGAAGGATCGTAGGTTCTTTCTGCTTCTCAATGTAATATACATTAATTGAGATATTCTGATTTAAAATTTCTTCATTTGGTTCAGTGTCTTTAATTGAGAACACGTACATACTATGTGTAAATGTATATTTCGTGTAATGTATAATAAATATATTTGTGTAAATATATGTGTGATTTATATTATGCATTTTATATTTTTTTTTGTTAGACGTTCGATACATAATAACTTAATTCATTTCTCATAATACTCTCATGTTATTCTTTTCTGTACTGGTAGACTATAACAGCAGTTCTGCTGATGCTCTATATACTTCAATTATTCGTCTGTTTTTACCGCAATTATTATTATTATACAGCATGTGACACATCTTTGTCATATGTTGCTTTGCAATAAACTAAATTAAATTAAAATTAAATTTTAAAATTGAATTATGAATGAATTTTGATAAAAATATTTTATGTTGTAAATATTCGGAGAAAAACTGTTAATTTTTTTCAAAGATACCAAAAGGTTTGCGGGTTATTGCTATATGTTTTATCTATTACCAACGTTTCATATGAACCTTGCAATTCACGTCATTAGAGCGAGGAGCGCACCAATACTGAGCGGCTCCTCCGAAGAACTTCCTTTATATAGTTTTTTTTTCTGTAAAATTAATGCATTTATAAAGTGTTTATAATGCGCGTCGAACTTTTGTTTTAAATGATGATTTTCGCCTACAAAATTATACGGCAATGTCCATATTTTATAATAGATAATTAAAAATTCAAAAAATGTTATTATTTATTATTATATATAATAAAATTGTATTTACTAGTATTTTTACTTAAAAGAGTGTAAAATTAATTACATTATAAAATAACCGTGCAACTATCATTATCAGGCCGTTTAGTTACGCCGCTTTCTTACTTATCAACACATAGTCCTAATGTACTTATCGTACAGTTGATTAGTCTAATATATTAAAAAATATATTAAAATATAGAATAGTTCAAATAATAAATTAAATAAATACATTAATAAATTTTTCATGATGACAATACCACTTCATCATTTTCTGGTAACAATCTAGTATTTCAATTATCAGCATAAACCATCATAACTATTAATAAAATCATAAACTGGGCAAAAAGTTTAACTGAAAAAGAATAGATTTTTGCGTTAATGACGCAAACTTTTTATAAAAATTTCAATCGAATATATTGCCGGATATTAATGATAATTGATATTCGGTTATCCAACCAAATAGTAAAAAAAAGTACCGAATAGCGGATATTTTCCGGATATCTGAAGCATCCCTAAATATTACTGTTATAATATTGTAGGTACATATATGCAAACATCAAGAAAATACTATTAAAAATGGACATTCTTATATGTTAGCATGGCCATCAAAGGGGCTTGGAAGAAATCCGACTACATTTAACGAATTATATTATCAATTATTTCACCTATTACAAAGATACAAATAATAAGAATTTTTCTTATTTAATCATTGTTTCATTATTAAAGTTATACACTCGCGACAATACCATCCAAAAGTTAAGTCTCATCGTGCACTCATTGGTAATATCCCTACTCCTGCCAGTGAGAGAAAATTTTTGATTGCGCTTGACCAAAGCTGCACGCACACGTGGAAAGAAAATGAATACAGATAGACGGAACAAATGCTCGTTAGGATATATCCGCACAGAGACCTTGTCCCTAATCAGTGGGGAGGTCATTTCATCCTGTAACGATTTACCGGATGGATAGACCGAGGAATTTGGAATCACCGCCAACGAGATTAAGTCGGCGACGAGGAAGTTCTTCTAAAACCCTTAGGCCAGATGAGGTCCTAGTAGGGTGTGGTCCCTAATTCTTAAGGAGATAGGCTCTCAACTCCAGGCGCTCCATACAAAATGCCTGAAGGCGTGCCGCTTTTCCTCCATATCTCCGTCTGTATATACACCGATCTATCTACTGGATGAAGTGGGAAAGCTATTTGAGAGATTCGTGGCTTCCCGGCAGTTGTCCCGGATTGGTCCTAAGTTAATGAGGACCAATATGGTTTTCAGCAGGTCAACGTGCAACTCTCCGTCCAATCAAGTCGATCTGTGAAACAGATCCTGTTCCGAAAGTAGCCCCTAAGGACCTCCCTCAGGTATTCGGAAAAGCCGAAGTGATCTCGACCACAGTAGGAAGGCTGGAAATATGGCAATTGCTGGTAGATCCCTCTCCTGTAAAAACTGCAAGCTGGCAATGGTGAGGTTTTTTTTTTAGTAGATATGCGACGTTCTTTGGAACTCCTTTCGAGGAAGACAAGAGCGCCGAATCCCGTATACTACCCCCGGATTAGGTGAATCCCGGGGGGGGGGGGGGGGGACCATGTAACGGGATTGGAAGATTTTTTCTCACCTTAAAAAAAGGATGTATGTACACAGCCTGCGTAGTCGTATAAACATATATGCATTAAGAAAATTATCCAATCACATTTCCGTTACAAGGACGTAAAATACGATTGGAATTTTGTTTATGCATATGTCTATGCGGTTATGCAAATTGTGTGGATATACCCTTACTAGCCAAATTATCTCAACACACGGAGGCGAAAACTGACGAAAATATGAAAAAAAAGAAAGAAGCAGACAAATGCCAGTGTTGTTAGATGTTCATTGGCTGTCCCCTTCCCCTCCACTCTTTCCACTTTATATGCCGGACGAAATCAAAAATTGCATTTTTTTCATGATTCTATTTTTTTAAATAAATAGTAAAAAATTATGAAATTTGTTCACAATATCCGTTTTATATTCTTTCATCACATACTCGTTTTTTTTATTAATATCTTATATATACTGCAAGTTTAAATATAGTTTTAATTTCAAGAAATTCTGTTTTCAACTCGCAAGTGTATTACCTTAAAAATATACGAATCTATAAAAATTCTGATGATAAAACAACGATTAAGGTAAAATCTTCAGTAATTTATCTCTTTGGAACACAGTCGAAACAATTAATAAAATAAGTCTTCTTCTA